CCACGCGGCGGGGGCGCCCTCGTGCCACAGAGGAAGCGGCAGCAGCTGGCCCCGGGGTCACGCCGGGCACGGGTGGGCTGTCCGGGACGCTGCAGCCGCAGGCTGGGGCGCACGTCAAGCACGGGGGGCAGTGGACAACAGCCGGTGCGGCCGCCCTGGGCGTCAGAGGTGCCCCCGGCCACCGCCCGTGGCCTCGGCACACACCCAGCTCCTGCCCGCCCCGAGCTGCCCAGGAGACAGTGCCCCTTTGGGGGGCCCGGGCGCCCGCATTCTCAACACGCAGAGCCGGCGTCCTCGAGGCCCCGGGCGGAAATGGCGGGCGGCCGGGGCGTGGACGCCGGGGCGTGGCGGTTCTCGCCAGCCCCCCCAGGGCCCTCTGGGCCGGGCGCCCCTCAGACTCCCCTGCAGCGCTCGGAGGCGTCTCAGCCCGCAGGCCAGGTCCCCCGCCAGGTCCCCCCGCGGGAAAGGGCCCCTGCTGCCGCCCCCACTGGCCCAGGGCCCTGCGGGGTGTGGGGGGGGGGGCTCACCTTGCACTCGCAGCCCATCTGGTACCTGTGGTTCAGGCTTTTCTTCTGGGTGGCGCTGAGGGTGTCCCAGGGCACGATGAAGTCACAGAGGGTGACGTGCATCCCGCCAGGCCCCTCGGCCTTTCCTGAGAGGCGGGGACAGGGCTGGGTGAGCGCGCCGGTCCTCCCTCCGCCGAGGCCGGGGACGGGCGTGTGGGGCGCTGGCCGGGTCGTGCCAGCCCCCGGGGCATTTGGAGCGAGGGGTCTGGGGACTAAGTCAGCAGGAGGTCACCCGGGCGCACGTCCCCGGATGGTGTCCTCGAGGAAGAGCCGTGACGGCCAGAGCGGGGAGACCCAGGAGGCCCAGCCGGCCCCGCAGCCCCCCGGGGGGAGAGGACCCCTGCCGTCCACACAGCCGCGGCCATCACCCCTCCACGCGCCGAGGCCACTGGCGCCAGACCAGGCCCGACGCAGACTCTGGCCGCTGCCGCTTCTCAAACGGCAGGAGGGTCTCCTCCCCTCAGGGACCAGCTGACCGTCCCTGCGTCTGGCCGGCCGAGCAGCAAAGCCACGGAGTTCC